ACACAATCTCCAGCAGTTTTGTGATTACTGCTTACAAAAATGAGAAACAATACCCATTGAGGAAAATCTGAAGTTTGTTCTATTCAGTGCCACATTGAATTGAGACAATTATTATCAAAGGCAGCAACATTTTTGGCCAAAATGTTTAAGTAAATTTTTTATATAACAAGTAAACAAACTTTATAGCCAACCTAATACTAACTCCATATGCTTTGTACTTTCTGTAATAATAAAGATCACCCTTTGTAAAAAAAAAGAAGAAAAAAAAATTCCTTTTTAACTTAAAAAAAGAGCCAAAAGGTGAAATTTAAGTTAAAATTAACAAAGTAATTAATTTACCAAGATGGCCCAAAAGTTTTACTTTAAACTTCAAATAAACTTCTAAAATTAGAACAAAATTTCTTTTAATTAATAGCTAGTTAGTATATTTTCCTTTTCATTCTTCATTGGGAAACATACATATATGTTTAAACAAATAATTTGTTATCTTTGGATGTACATGCAATTTAATGCTAAGTTCTTAAAAGCACAACACAAATGAAAGCTTTTTATTTCTACCAACCATACAAATTGAGTGTCATCTAGTGTTTGTTTCTTTCATTTCCAAAAGACCAGAGGGCATATTAGCATGGGATATGCACCTGTTTTTTTTTTTTATTAGATAGAATAATATACCTTTTTTCCCACTGCAGTATTGTCTGTTTTTGTCTTGACTATTTCGTTCATTTTTAGGAAAAAAGACAATTGCTTAATATATCATTGTTTTTTTTAACAAAGCTAATACTTAATTTCCATCATTACTTTAATTTCCTAAGTGATAGAATTTTTTTATATTTCATAATCTGAATGCTTATCCACATTCCCTGTTTTTTTTTCTAATAATATAGAATTAAGAAATAATCATTCCTTTTACTTTGTAAAAACTATATCACGCCTCCAATAAAACTTGCTTTACAGACCAATATAAAAACATGGTAGAATTATCAGCATGTGACATTAAAAGTCCTTTTGTATCATTTTATAGAACCATGAGAAATGCTAAAATTCAATATACATTAGATTACAGAGAATATTTTCTTAAATATTTAAGATTACTGAGTACTTAAAAGTAGGTACCTCCTCTATGTTGCATAAAAAAAATATAGCATGATGAAAAAACTCAATAAAAACATAATTTTGTCATCAAAATTTTTATTATTATTAAGAGGAAAGACCAAAGTATTTTTTTATTATTTTTTTGAAATTTTTTACTGCTTTCTAGCATGTTCGAAATTTTGGTTAAAAATCTTGTTTTTTTTTTTTTATGAGAGCAGTGAACTAGAGAAAAAAGGTTTGTTTTATTTTGTGCTTTTTCCGAGGAAACACATTGTTTTCAAGAATGCAATTTGGCGATATCGTTAAGTAAGTGAAAAATAAATTTATAAATCAAAATTTGAAAAGCTCATAAGTGTCATTTGTACCCGAATATTTTTAAAATAATTTTTAGTGAAAAAAATGTTCCTAGTTTCTACCTATGGGAATCTATACATGACAAAATCCTTAAAAAGGTTATGTGATTTAAGTGTTGTTTGATGCACTGCAATTATTTCACTTTTAATTCATTAACTTCTTTGCAAATCATTCCTTCGAAAAAAAAAATGTTTACTTTTCTTAATTGTTATTTCACTAAATATTTTTATTTTATGTATTTATTTTAGTTTGGGTCGTACTTCAATTAATTAATTTTTTGCTTAACTTTGATATAAAATAGTAGAAGAGGGAATTTTGTAGCTTGTTCCTCCAGATGGCAGTAAATAGTCCTCTCCCATTGTAGTTTTGCATGTGTGCAAGCTGTATTGGCAATTTTATTGCAAGAAGGCTATCCAATAATGTACCTTACCTTAATGATGGAAAACTGTTATATGCAATGGAGATGTGATAGTACCACTAGAAATGGTAAGAAAAGATATTTTAAAAAGTGTACATGATGATGTACATTGTGGGATAATGCCTACGCAGGGGTGGTTAAAATTAGAGGCATGGTGACCATGGTATTATTTTGAGATAGAATGATATGTGCAGAAATAAAGAATTTATAGTATGATAGTATGAGTGACTCAGACACAAAAGGCAATGAAATGAGACCATTAAAAAGGACAGGACATAAACCTCAAGAGAGAGAAGAGGAAAGGGATAGTAGAAAAAGTTTGAGAACAACCAAAAGTATTAAACTTCTTCAGTTCAGGGAGGTGTAGTGGATTGGTAAATAGGATTGTATCTATTTGCACATGTTAAGTAGAAGAGAAATGAAGTGTATAGTAAAGAAAGAAACGGGAAGTTGACTACTGATCATATGTCATAGAACACAATACAACAACCACAATCCTCATTCTCCAAAATCCAAATGATCTAGAAAACCCAAGAAACTACAGAACAATTGCTCTTACTATCTGTATCTGCAAAACCATTGAGAGAATGATTAGTGCAAGATTAACATGGTATTTACAGACAAATAATTTAATATCAAACATTCAAACTGCTTTCAAGAAAAAGAAAAGCACAATAGACCATTTGATCAGACTAGAGATCTTTATATGAGAAGCCTTTATAAAAAAAAACATCTTATAGCAATATACTTTGATCTAGAGAAAGTCTATCATAAAATGTGGAAGCATGGAAGATTTAAAAGAATTTGGATTGAGAGACAGATTACCTATCTTTTATAAATAACTTCCTGAGCAATAGAACTTTTCAAGTATGAATAGTTCACTATCTGAACCAAGAGAACAGGAAATGGGAGTCCCACGGGCAGCATCTTATCAGTGACATTTTTAATATCTAAATAAATAACATGATAAAATGCATCAAACCTGGCATTGACAGGTCACTGTATGTTCATGATTTCCTTATTTGCTACAAATCTAAAGGCATGCACACATCTGAAAGACAACAATGTATTTACAGCATAAATACATGAACTATTAAAAATGGTTTTAAAATTTAAAAAAACAAAATCAAATGTATGCACTTCTGTAAACTTCGTAATATGCATTATGACCCCACCTTGAAAACTGATGACACTACAATACCTGTAATTGAACAGCACAAATCTTTAGGCATCATCTTTGATTCCAAACTAACTTTTGTACCATATATAAAAGCATTGAGATCCAAATGCAATAATGCAATTCAATTGTTGAAAGTGGTTGCTTGTACCAACTGGGGAGAAGACAAAACAACACTGCTAAACCTATATAGGACACTGATGCAATCAATATTAGACTATGGAAGCTTTATTTATGGACCAGCCAGAAAATCCTATTCAAAAACAATACATCACCAAGGTTTAAAACTATCACTAGGCATAATCAACACCTCGCCAGTGGAGAGCCTATACATTGAAACATATGAGGCACCCATATAACTAAGACAAAAGTTAGCCTTACATTATTACACCAAAATATCCTCATGTCCAACAAATCCAGCCTATAATTATGTATTTAAAACTAAATATAATGCCTTCTTTGATAGGAAAGGGAAGGTTATCAAATCTTCAAGGTTTCAATCTTCAAATCCAAACATTTGTTGAGTAGACAATCAATGCAAAATAAATCCAAGAATTTACCATTTTCCAAACTGCTACCTGGACAATAAAACAATCCCAAATATTATTGTTTATCCAAGTACTCCAAGATTAAAACACACTCCACGACATGCTAAGTAAAAATTTTAACCATTCCAAATAAGTAACCCAACTACAAACTCATTTATGCTGATGGATTGAAAAAGGCGAATAATGTGTGATGTGTAGGCATAACGAAAGGAAATGAATACTCAAGACGCTTACCAAACAAATCATCCATCTTTAGTGCTGAGGTCACAGCCATTGACCTAGCACTGGACATTATAACAGTAAGGACCGCAAATGCATTTTTTTTCTCTGATTCAAAATCTGCACTCATAGCACTGAAACTATAAAGAGGCAACAAAGTCCTTAATCACAAAACTTCTGAATAAGATTGACATTCTGATTAAAAGCAAAAGCATTATTCTTTGTTGAACACCAACTTATGTTGGCATCTATGGAAATGAAAAAGGCCAACAATTGTCAAAAAACTGCTAAACACCAACATATCAAATACCAAGATACCATATAGTGATTTGAAACCTACTGTCTGCAAACTTATTACCAAAAAATGGCAGAAACAATGAAACCAGTGCAAGAACAACAAACTACAACACATTCTAGCCAACAACTGGAAAACAGCCCCAGGTTTCTGAAAAATAAGAAAGGAGTAAGTAACCCTAACCAGACTATGCATCAGAGATACTTATATCAACCACTCATACCTGCTTAAAAATGAAGAACCCTCAATGTGCACTATATGTCAGGAACCATACACAGTGAAACATACTTATAAACTGTAGCAATGTCAACCCAACCTGAATGAAGTACTATCAAGTAAATAACTAAAAGACATTTGAAAAAATTAAACCAGATGATACTGAATTTCCTAAAAGACATTAGATTCTACTTCAAAATTTAAATATATACGAACCCAAAATGCGCCAGGAACCATAAATAAGCAATCTACCAGACAACACAAAGATATAAATAAAAATATCTAAACAAAATCCCACAAAATACTGTTTCGGCATTTATGACCTATTGTGGTTGATATGCTGGTAAAATAACTAATTGACCATAAATAATTGGCATTCTGTTTTATTGTTGCTGTCTTTGCTTTATCTCTCTCTTGCTATATTTGTTTTTCTTGTTCTCGCTGTTTTAGCTTTCTCTCCGTATTGTATTTTTACTAATAAGTTTTCTAAATCCTAATTTTTCAATAACCTCCATCATTTGTTAAGCTCATTATTATAAGAATGATATGAACATCTGTAAATTTGTATTGCAAAATAAAAAGAAGGCTTATAAAAATTGGAATTTACAGTTACTGATATTATTAAGAGAATTTAAGAGCTTTAAGTTTATTAATAATTAAATTTATTACATTTTTCAGGTGTTTGCCAAGATGCTGATCAGAAAGTTGTAAAAGATGGCTGTATTGAAGTCAAGAAAAATGATTCTGGACATTATAAAACATGCATTGAATTGACTGATGATGATGATGATGATGACTCTGATTCTTCAGAAAAGAAGATAGTAAAAAGTGTTACTTCAGGAAACCAGCAGTCCATTTCAAATTCTGAAGATGATTCTGATGAGGTATTAATATTTAAGCATATTTACATAGGCTACTTATTAAGGTTATCTAGCTTCTTTGTAGATTATTTGACATGTTTTTGATTTAGAAGTAAATTGTTCTTTCATGGGTTTTCAGTCTCAGAGGATCAGTTGATTCTAGGGCAATCTTCATAAGTAGCAAGAAGAGATGAAACACTAACAAAAGATAAAATGTTTGTCTTGATGAAGAAAATACCTTTTATTCAACAATTGTAAAATGTAGTTGGCTGAATGGATAGGAGTTCAAGGAGAAAAAATACAAATCATTAGAAATTCATTGTCTTATGAGCTGGGGTGTAAATGTGCATGATTCTGAGAATATTTTTCCATCCGCAGGACATTTATGAAGACAAAGCTCTTCTGACTGGTATAAAATACTTTTTGCTGTCTAATAAAGTGCTTCATCCAGCATTTGTCCTGCTCCAACTTTGAAGAGTCTGCTCAAGATTGTGAATATACAGAGATCTTATGTCATATGAAACACGACCACATGTTCAAGTGATTTACTTGCCCATGTGGTTGTGTTCCATATCCCCTAGTTAATAATCATATACTGGATTAATAAGTGGAACTTTTTAGTAATCTTTTCCTTTAACTCTTGAGAAACTTGCTAGCACTTTGGATATCTCAGTACTAATATTTCCAAACTACAGGGTTTTGCAGTTCCACTTATGAAGTTTTGGGCCCAAAATTACCAAAACACTCCATTCTTTGACAAACTCAATGATTTATTCCAGACCAGCATGAAAAGGAACAAGACTGTTGTTGTTTTTTTTTTTTTTTTTTTTTTTTACAGTCAGGTTCAGCCTTTATAAGCCCCAGGGGCCACTTGAAGTAGAGGGTTACATTAGGAGGCAATTTGTGTGGATAGGAGTGGAAAATAACGGTTAACCCTGGCTTTGAACAGGTTAAGATTGTAGTGATCAGGGAAACATCCTCTTGGAAATAGATTCCACAGAGCAGTGGTTTGTGGGAAGAAGCTGTTTGAGTGAAACTTACTTCTCACCGATGGAGTATGGAAGGAATGTTAGTTGTTTGCTACTATGTAGCTAGCATGGTATGCCCTTACAGTGGAGGTTTGAATTGGTGGGACCAGGAAGTGTAGTTTCCATGGAAATAGCAATAGAGCAGTGAGATGATTACCAGTAGGAGGTTGGAGGATGGAGAATAATTCATCACTTACAAAAGCAAAGAAGAATGGCCATGCAGGAACATATATATGCGATCAGGGTCCTTGTTTTTGTGTTCCTGCCACGGGGAAGCTCGTCCTTGATGTAGGCTCTGAGTCTATGGCCATGATGATTTAAATGGTTGTGTTTTGCTATAAGAGGTGAGTAGCCTGGGTCTCTAAGCTCCTCTTGTGGGTTTAAGGCATTGTTATCAGTTTCAGATTGCAACAGGAGTTTGAGTTTGGACTGAAGAAAATGGAGTTCCACTTCTGGCAAGTTGAAAGGTGGACTCCCACGTTGGTGTAGGAGATGGTATTTTTTTTTTTTTTTTTTTTTGAGGTTTGGTTTGCTACTTTTGTCCATTCTCATTTTAATTGTTTTCATGTGTAAATTGGTTGGTGGAAGACTAGTAGGCAGTGATTCACCCCCCACAGGAGTTGCATGTATAAATAGCCTGAATAATATTGTCTGGAGATGCTGCCATGGCAGTACCCTTTATCATGGTATGGAGAGGCCCCACAGGAGATTACTGCATGGTCCAGAAACCATTCACAAAATGATAGTATAATAGCCCCAATATAATACTCCTACTGATAGTATAGTCACCTTCAGAGTTACTCAGTTCAGATCCGTGACTATCAAGCAGATAACACCAAAACCCAGAAAATATCTACATCCAGCACCCTTAATGAAGGGGCAATCAACCCAGGAAAGAAAATACATATGTGATGCTCCATGTGTACATGTCACATTTGCCCAGAAATCAAGGCAACAGAACTCCTCCTTGGAACAGAAATATTGTATTGGTCTGAGACCTAAAGGTACCAAGATAAGCTCATTCATGCACGTGAGGACTAAAAGATCGATTGGGAGTAGGGGCGGGGGGTTATGGTAATGAAGGTTGCTCAGAGATGTGCATTCCCTACTCCCATTTGAATTAGTATAGTAGAGCATGGTTACTAGGGGCATGTAATAGGCAAATTATCTATCCAGGTAAAAAAAAAAAAAAATCAGGCTTGGAAAGGAGAAGAATTATGGATTGGAATGAGGACTGTGGGCTAGGTTGTGGACTGGGAGTGTGAAACGGCTATAAAGTTTTAACTTAATATAAGTCCCAATGATTATTTATTTTGTGATTGGCGTAATGGCTTACTGACTTCATAAATTTAATATTAAGATGAAACTAGCAACTACTATTATTTTTTTTACTCACTATTTTTTTGTTAAGTTAATTTTACTGCAAAAAGTTTTTTTTTTTTCAAAACTGAAACAAATTGATTTCGGACATCATGTATTTTCTTTTTTTTCTTCTTTATTTCTTTTGTAAACAAATAGATTTCATATTTATTTCCTAAAACTAGTCAATAAATGTTTTTAACATATTTTTGTTCAATCTTTTTCTTTTACAGTGAATTAAAATTTAATTTTATTAACATCTGAAAGTCTTTTTCAGTAGTGTTTCTTCTTTGAATATGGTCACTCAGTAGTGATAGCATTTAAAAAAAATGAAATTGTTCGGTTTCGTAAAAAATTTCGATGCGGTTTCACGGTGTAAAAATGAAACTGAAAAAAAGTTGGTTTTTCAGTTAAACCGCCCATCTCTAATATCTATCTATCTATCTATCTATATATATATATATATATATATATATATATATATATATATATATATATATATATATATATATACCCATAAATTTGTGTTCCCTATATGTCTATGCTACTTTGTTCTTCATTTCATTTGTTATCTTAATCTCTGATTCACATGTTCATAAACCATACAGAATCATTTTGGTAGCATTTGCTCTCTGAACTTGTTTGTTTGTCTGTCTTACCTATAAGCATTTTTCTGTATATTACAAATATGTCTGGTTAATCTAAGGTTGATAGTTTGCTGTTGCCAAGATGTTTTTTGTATATTTTTAAGAAAATCCCTACAAATGTTTAATGACCTAGTTTTATAGGTTGTTTTCCTTGATTCCTATTTACTATTAATGTTTTGATGGCACACCAATTTCAGAAGCTTAAAATTGTTGAGGTAAAAAAAAAGATGTAGGTTAGCATTTGCCTGAGTTAAAGATTTCTTACTTGAGAAATGACAGGAATTATTATTTTTCTGATAAGAATGAAAATTCACTTTATTTTTATTCATAAATATTTGATTTCTTTCTTTAGGAAATAGTCTCCATAATTTATGAAAACCAACAGTTTGACTCACTAGAGGATAAAAACCTTTTAAACATGCGCAAACAAGCAATTCGCCAATTTCTCGCTACAGAAGAAATATTTGTTGAAACTTTGGAAAATATACAAAAGGTAATTTTTCCATTTATTTTAAAAAATTATTTTTGTATACATATTCCCACAGAAGTTTCTTATCTGGAATATATATTATGACAATATTTAAAAACAGTAGAAATATTTTTTTTTTTTAAGCCTTTAGTGCCAACATATTTTTGTTGACTTATGTAGGCCAAAAATAGAACAATGGAGATATCCTAGAAAGTACATCAGTAGAAAACAAGGATTAGTCACAGCAGTGTGCAGAGAGCAACAAACAGGATGTAAATTTCAAAAATGGGGACATTACATAATGTCATTTGACAACAAATAAAGTAGCAAGAATGTTAATTAATATTTTCTGGTGCTGAATGTAATATATGTATTGAAGTTAAAATACGTTTTGGTGAACTAATTTGATAAATTTGTTGCTATTTTTATCATACTCTGTTCAGTCAACTAAAATTATGTACTGTAAAAGCAGTGAAAATTCAACAGAAATTCAATGGTAAACTATTAAATCAGTTTACATGTTTTCAAGGTGTAATAATTAGAAATAAATATTGGAATATTGTGAATTAAAAATACAACAAAATTTAATGGATTTAGTATTGCTACTTATTTGAGGCACTTTAGTATATTGATTTACTTAATGTCTAATGTAATAGTATCCATATAATTTAAAAATTAGAAAGATGTTAACCTATAAATATACTCATCAATTATTTAGTCTATGTTAATAATTTACCTTGACATTTTTAAAATTAAATTATGATTCATTCAAGTATATCTTTATAGTATTTGACATCTGACTCATTGAGCTAATTTTATCATGCCACTACTTTTCTCTATTTTCAATTGCTATTATGCAATAGATATATAACATCATATTTACCTTTCTATAAATACTCTTTGATTTATAATTTTTGTTCATTTTCTATTTTATATCAGCTTATGGATCAGTTCAGTGCTACTATTGACAGTAAAGAAAGCTTTTTATCCAAAACAGATTTTGAAATTATGTTTTTTAAAATTTCTGAGATATTATCCTTACACAAAACCTGCATAAAGCAGCTTGCTCCTAAAGTACAAAATTGGCAAAACAATGAAACAGTTGGAACAATCTTAAAAGAACTGGTGAGTCTTTTCTCTTATTTTTGGTTATGAATTTTTGTCTTTTTAATATATTTTCTTTTATGCTGAACTATTATTTTTCTCAAGATTTAATGCAATTACTCAAGAAAAGCTGAGAAAGATTACAATATATTCAAATTATCATTGTATATGTTGATACTAAAATGATGTGCTATTGTCTGTTTTCTTTTTGTTTGATAAAGCAATTTATAAGGTTACATACTTAATTCAGTGGAATGTGCTATTCATAGGTAGATTACATTTGTAAAATATGAACCTTTACATAGTGTGCAGTTTCTTCCCATTCATATCCATTCATGTTTATTCAGTATTGTGATGTGATTTTTAAAATTGCTATAGTAATTTTCTTGTGAATTTGGAAATAAAATTGTGATATTTTTGTGTCAATAAAGATAATGCAAAAAAGTAAACGAAATAAATGCTAGTGAAACAGTAAGGACAAAGATAAAAAAACTTAAAATATCAAGTAAGTCGGATATGCACAGAAAAATGATCACCAGAAAATATGAATCCTTGAATTTGAATACTGATAATTTTGTATATCTGGTTGCACAAGCAACGGTAAGTTTCTTAAGTTTAAATAGATAGGAAAAACACATAAAATTTTTGTACATTGGAAAAATTTGTTATATTTAATATTAATGTCTTTTTTAGGTTTTAATATAGAGTGAATGTAATCATCAAATTTTTAAGAATAAAGTATATGTTTATTTTTGCAAAGGATCATGTAAATAATCTTTTCAAATGCCAACATTAATGAAGACTTAAACTGATGAACCTGAGGAGGTTATATTTTCAGGGTAACTTCTCCAATGAGCTTTTCTCCCTGGTGGCCTGACTGCATGAATTTAAGTGTGCTACAAGATTGGCATTTAGGTCCTATCCTTTTACTGTTCAAATAGTTAAATATAACTGCCACTTCTACTTCAGCAGTTCTTTTTCTCACACTTCCTGACATTTAAATTCGTTCCCATTTACTTGCTTCCCTGAAAACTACAATCTTCAAAAATTTAAATGAAACATCAATTGCTATCTTGTTTCATCTTGAACTCCATTCATCTTTTATCGTTTTTTTTTCAATCTTCCCCTAGAGCCAGTCTTTTCTCTCACTTCTCTATAACCCCCTGTGTACTAGTGGCATTCACACCTTGCTTGGGGTGAAATGATTAAAACTAAAGAAAATGACGTTGCTGATAGTATGTGACTTGGACGAACCAGAATTTCTTGAGACTGGGATCTGGTGCATTGCAGCTCAGGCTAGGGCTAAAAAAAACTGAAAGACAACAAAGCAAGAAGTGGAGAAAATGAAATAACCAACCTCTTTCTAGCTTCAGCATTTACATGAAGCTATAATGAAAATTTCTGTTATGGCATACCCGCCAAAATTGAAGAATTTGACTTTTGTTGAAATTTAAGAAATTCTAAAAAAGAAGTTTACAAGTTAAAAAGAAACATATCATAGTGGAAAGAACCAAATTTCTGTCCATTAAACAGAAACAAGATGAATCAATTATACAATATATTGATAGATTAAGAGAAGCTAGCAGATTCTGCAAATTTGAGAAACTGGGAACTCAAGATTTGATTTGATTCAATTATAGCTGATTGATGCATAAGATATTGGAACAATTACAATTGAATAATTTCTCTGTAACTGCACGTGTGGAAGTTATACAACAACTGGAATTGATAAAAAAAAATGTAATTCTATTGAAACAATGTTGAAATATACAGTACAAAAAAGGAATTCATGAAATGCAAGTACTGTAACTATGAGCATGAAATTAACAGAAAAAAGTGCCTGCAGAAGAAAAATCATTTTCAGTCTGTATGCAAAGTTAAAAAGAAAATAGTATGGAAAAATTGGAAAAGAGAGAATTGATGATGTTTTTTCAGTACAATGACATAGGAAAAGAATTATTTAAAAAAAATTAATATAAATTGCATGACATTTTCAATGCAAGTGGATACAGGGAGTGAGTTTATTCTGATCCCAAGAAATTTCTGGGAACAAATGAGAAAACTGAAATTGAAAAAATATCTGAAATTGAGATAATTTGATGGATCTTTTATAAAAACCTTGGGATACTTCAAGGAACTTTTGAAACTGAAAATTTCAGGAGTATCTATACCTACTAATAAAAAAGAATTAGAATCTTTTTTATGATTGGTTAATTTTTATAATAGATACCTATCAAAATAGTGACCCAATAGAACCATTTGCTCAAAGTTCAAAGGGACTCAAAGGCAAAGCTTAGCTTTTGAGGATTTAAAAAAGATACTTGCAAAATAACCCATTGTAAAAATTACAGTGTATTACATTTTTAATATGCTTAATATATTTAATTTGACTTCAGATGGTTCATTTTCCAGTATTTGAAGAATACACAAAGAATTACCCATCTGCTGTTGAAACTATCAATAAATGTTCACAAGTTAATGGAAGTTTCAAAAGAATTGCTGAGGTGAGCTATTCTAAATTTATTATTCATTGGAATCTTAAAAATTAAAATCCGAAATTATATATTGGAATCTTAAAATATTAAAATCTGAAATTATATAAAGATAATATTTCTCATGAAAAATATTTATGATATATAAAATTGTTATATCCAATCACTAGATCAGTTGATCATCAAGTTGCCAGATTTTAGTTATTATTTATCTTTTACTGAAATTTCCATTATACTACTTTTGATGTTTTATTTTTGTGGGTCGCATGTTTATTGTTAAACTGCTATAATAGTCCAAACTTGTAATTCTTAGTATGTTTAAAATTTTCTAACTGGAAAGTTAAAAATTGTCGACATTTTACCTTATTTTCTTTTGTTTCTATATAATATTTAAGAATTTATACAAATATTGCTTTTGATTATGGCCTTTAAATTTCAAATTTTCAATTACATATTTCAGGAGGCAAGTTTTAATCCAGAAATGCAAAAAATTAGTCTTAGTGGTAAGTTTAAAATATTTTTGCATAAACTAAGTTCCAAGAATTTGTTTATAGTCATAATATAAGTTTTAATTTATTTATGTAAATACATTTTATAAAGTTTGTAGAAACTGAATGTATTATTTGAACCCTAACTATGTATGTTGAAAAAGATGAAAATGTTTATTCTTCATAATATTTAAAATAAAAACATGTCAAAACTTGCACACTTTGATGTATTCATAAACAACCAAACTGTATACCATTTGTTTATAAAGGATGGCTTTTATCTCAACTCACCTTAATTTGGTATAATCCTAGGAAAACTTGGGAATGCTCCAGCACACAAGTCCTTGGTTTCAATGGCTGCTGTGCATGACTTTGTGTTCTTCATTTATGCAACTGATCTTCATAGTTTATAATTTTTCTTTTCTTTTAAAATCACAATTCTTTATGATCCCTTCACATAAAGTCACTCTTAAAAGACATTAGAGAACCCCAACTATATAATATTTTGAATATGTCACAGTATGCATGCTAGAAAAAGAAAAAAAAACATGAGCAATGTACTGTGCCCCAATTAAGTTTTAATCACTGTTTAATTAGACAATATCCATTGCAATTGCTATGAAAAGCAAAATTAAAGTTAAACCTTTAATAAAGAATTGTTTTTTTGAACATTTCATTCTGTTCAATATTTAAATTTAACTTTAAATGAGTTATTTATTTAATTTTTAATCATGTGTAACTACAGTAATTACTACCTGTTACTTCATGTTGTTTATGATTTGCTGAGATTGAAAAATGGACGGACAGACACATATACACTGTGCTTTATTTATTTAGATGTATGCTGCAAAATATGATATCTTGTATTATACTGACACCAGCATACTCTTTCTTACTTGCTATGAAAATTTTAACTAAGAAGTAACGTTTTAATTTCTTTCTTTTATTTCCTTATTTACTATTTCACTATTAAATTAGTACTCTTACTTTAAGATTTATTTTTCTTTTTACACAAGTCCTTTGAAATCTTTAATCTTCCTATTGAAAATTGTGCCACATTTGATTCATATGGAGTATCTTTGTCTGATTTTCATCATAAAAAGGAATTTCTACTATAGGGTATGCATATAACTTCATCTATGGTTTGTGCCATCATCTCTAAACTTGATTCCCACAAGGCATACATGATAGCATCCATGAAATTGTCCTAAGGAAATGTCTTGAACTCTAAACTCTACAACAAATGACTTGTTGCTTCTTGCTTTCTAGCTTGTTGAAAATCCTCTTCTGTAGTTCTGGTTTTTTAAACACTGAAAAACTAATCCTTTGAATTATTGTTCTATTAGTTTTTACCTCCTTTTGGCAAAGTACTAGAGGCTGTAATCAACACTGAATTGGTTAAGCATCTCACTTTGCATGGCCTTCCTTCAGATACACAGTATATCTTTTGATTCTCTAAGTCAACCGCTGATGTGTTAATGGTGATTACTGAAAGAGTCTATCAAGCTTTAGATTAGCGAGGCTCAGGCTATAGCTTTACGTGTTTCAAAGACATTTGATTAAGTTTGGCATTTTGGTCTTGTAGAAGGGAAAACAGCTTACCTCTTGGAACAAAACATGCAAAATACATGAAAGAAAATATGGCCAAACCAAAAGCTGCAATTTAAGAAAGATTTTGTGAGAGAAATTTGTGGCTTATGCAAATTTCCAAGCCTCAGCCACTCTATAAAATGAGCATGAGTGAGAGAACATCAGACAGGCTGCAGGTGCCGATGAGTCAAGTGGTTGTGCTCTGTGTGGGGAGTTTTGCTGTAGTCTCACTGATTGAGATTGAAAAGAATACAAGGTACAACTGGTACTCCAAATGGCTGTACTTATTTTGCTACAAGCTATTTCAGCCTTCCAATAGGCATAATGTTGGAAGGAAAATTTGATATCAAACTCATCTCTGAGTTTGATGGTTCAGCGCCTGGACCATCTGTGGTCGAATGGATTGAAAAGGCAGAACTTGTATGCAAGATGTGCAGTTTAAAACATCTTGAACACATAATCCCCTTAAGGTTGTTGGGTGGAGCTTTTGATGTTTACCAGTGGCTTGAAGAAGAAATAGCGGAAATATCCAAATAAAATATGGATTTTATATGGAAAGCCATATAAAATCCAGATTTTATTTGGATATGCAGTGAATGGATTCATGGTGTAAGAGTATTGAGTGATGGCTTCGTAGTTGAGAATCAGTTGATGTGTACTTGGTGGACTTGCAAAAACTTGCAATATTATTTAGTGGAATGAGTGACTATGGACTGGCATGTGCTTTCATCAAGGGATTGCCAGACCCAATGAAGCAGCTTCTTTGTGTTTCAACCTGCATGGACATGCTAGCACTTGACCAGCTGTTGGCTCAAGTATCGGCAATTATGAAGGATGAGGTAATGGAGGAGAATCTCACAGTAGCAGCGGCACAAATGGTACAGGATGAGATGAAGAAGGTTCTTATTGGGTGCTCAGGTGATACCATAACATGTCATCATTGCTACAGTCCTAATCACTTTGCAAAGGACTGTGTGGGACTGCATGCCGAAAGGCAGAAACTCTGAATATGCTTCTACAGGTGAAACGGGCCAGTGGAAGAGACTTCAGTGCCAGTCTGCTCCACAAACCACATCTGAATGAGGTGCTCCCTGTATGCATCAATAGGATCAAGGGTGCAGTCTTGGTGGACACTGGTTGCTCACAGTCACTTGTTAGCAGAATGCTTTGTTACTCCTGGAAGAGGAAGGAAGTAGATATGATCACTGATGAGACTCTTAGGTGCTGTGGGGTTGGAGTTATTCAACTTGGTGTGAGTGACAGACACCCTATTGATGTTGTGGTTCTGGTTGTAGACAGGAAGCTACTAGAGTATGACTTGTAATTGACTTCATCAAGAGGCTGGGTGGAGTGTGTATGACCAGCTGTGGTACTGTGAGTTTTCCTCAACTTGACCAACCTTTGTGGAAGATCTGGATTGTATCGTGGAAGTGGTGTGGTCACCAGACAATGTCCATGATGAAGAACCAGATACTGGGGTATCCGCACTGAAGTAGCTCAGGGAGAAGTACACTCACAGGTTGCAAACCTGGAGAGATAACAGTTAGCTACTTCTGTATCCTAAAGAAAACACTTGGATCTCCTAAGGGCCTAATCCCACTAATGGCTGTGCTGCAAGAAAACAAGCTGAACTCTTGAAAGCATCAGTTTGGGCAGTGTTTAGAGACTGGTGCCAGTGCATTGGGAATTTGGAAAGCTGAATGTGCGTGACAGTTGGAGTAGTGTGGAAATAAATATAACCTATTATGGAGGCCAGTATTATCTGACCCTGATAGACTGTAGCCCTAGTTGATTTTCCATCTGGCAACTGTTACTGTGTCAAGACTCTGCCAGCATAATCTGGCAGTTGGAGTCACTATTCTGCAAGAGAGGGCCATCTACTGAGCTGTTCATCAACAATGGTATGGTGTTCTGTGGAGAGATGTTTGTGAAGTTTGGCATCTGATTGAGATTCCAGTGTGCCTATGTGCCATCAGGAAATGGTATCATAGAGAGATGCCATCGTACCATCAAGTGTATTGCTGCTAGAACACAATGTTACATCATGAAGGCATTATATTGGTATAACATGATGCCAAAAGATGACACAACAGCCATGACAACACCATCTAACTCTATATATAACTTCCAGACCTGCATAAAGGGTGTTGATGTTACACCACCATTTGAACATAATAGATTCCAGAATCTACAGAGTAGGAGATGCAGTCTATATAAAGGTCCCACATGGTTGATGTATGACACAATTTAAAAGAGCGAAAGTGATAGGAATCTATAGCCCACAATTGATCTTTGCCCACATCACAGATCTATTTCCTCAGAAGATGATGGCAGTGGTATGTCATCTGAGAGAGATTCAGATGTGCTGCTGCTTATCAGAGCAGAGTCAAATGATTTGCCTGCAGAACCAAAAGAAATAGCAGAGTTGGAAGACGATGATGATGAAGCTTAGAACAAGAGAGAACTGAGAAATGAAGAGGTGGACAGACCCCATTCAACTTTACAAAGAAGCACATTGAAGTAGACTACCATCTCCCTGCCACTTATGTGATCCTGAGATCAGGGAGGAGTGTAGAAGGGAAAACTACTTACCTCCTGGAACATACATGCCACGTCTCATGTGCAAAATACACGAAAGAAAATATGGCTGAACCAAAAGCTGCAATTTAAGAACAGCTTAATCTCAGAGCTCAGAGATTTTGCAAGACAAATTTGGGGTTTAAGCAAATAAAATGAGCATGAGTGAGAGAACATTATGAATCAAGTGGTTGTGCACTGTGTGGGAAGTTTTTTGGTAGTCTCACTGATTGAGATTGAAAAGAAAACAGGGCACACTAGTACTTCAAATGGCCATACCTTTTTTGCTACAGGTGTTCTTCTTTGCTTTGATTTAATGTTTCTTATCAAAATGTATAATGAAAATTTTCTTGAATGGCCACTCCATTTTGTATCAATGTGGCCACCTCTCAGGGCTCTATTCTTGGACTGACTCTGTTCCTTATTTTTGACAACATTCCTGATCAATTTCTATCTTTGTAGATAATACAACTATTTACTTTTCTCTTAATAGTGAAGTCTGATAGGTTCAATAAAATCAAATTGCCAACTGATCTCAAAAATTAATTACAAACTATTGTGAACTGGGGCAAGAAATGGCTTGTTAATTGTAGTGCTTCTAAAACAAAGCTGCTCTATTAATCATCTTAGAGAAGTAATTTTGCCTTTCATCAGCCTGTCTAATGCCAACATCCAGGAGAGCAACTTATTTACCTTCTCGGTCTCTCATTTTCCACTGACATGAAGTAGAATGATTATATTGAAAAATTGCTAGATCTGCTGCCAGAAAAGTTGTTCACTGCATCATTTCAGTTGCACTATTGCTTTACATGTAGGTGAAACAATTTTAAAAAATGTATTTGGATTTTACTTATTTGAATGATAAAAGAAAATTATTTTTTGATTCATCATCATTACTGTCTCTAATAACTCTGTATATTTTAAACTTTTTTATTTTCAATTCAGAATTTAATTAAATTTTTAAATAATTCTGAATTTCATTTTTGTGATTTAAATAAAATTTTTACTGGAACTGTTTTATTTATGTTCATTTTTTAAAAAAATTATTTAAGTGGAAGATGATTAGCCTAATCTAGTAGTAACTACATTTTGAGTTATCCTTCTAGACTGGTTGCTAGCCAAAGCTAAAAAGCCTAATTTGCCCTATTATTTAACCCATAGGTGGGGAAAGTAGAGATGGATTCATACCTTTCCCAAGGGTATTTGCATGAAAGTGAATGTAAAAAACTTAACTGGAATGTTGATTTAATATGTAGTTTTTTTATTTTTAATAAACCAACATTATTCAAGTTGAATTCAGTTTAAATATATCCTGATATTCACTTACAAGAGGTTTTTCATTTTTCTTGAATATATTTTTGTATATTATGATACAAGGAGGCACAGTGGAGTAATAGATAGCGGCTCGGATTGAGGAATTGGAGAGCAGTCAAATCCATTACATTTACTTACGTGCTAATACCCTTGGGAAAGATATGAATCATCTTCTACTCCCCCCAGGACAGACTGGGTTCTATAGCCTTGGATGGCAACTGGTCTACCACAGAAAGAAATGGCAACCTACTGCAGGAAAAAAATCTCCCTTATCAGTCATGTATTGAAAGATACATGATTGCCTAAGTGTGTATCACGCATGGCACATAACTGACTGATATTATGATAAAATTCAGTAGATGGTGACTATTTACATAGAATCCAATGTTTTTAGGTTTTATAAATATGAAGTAGATTTCTGTTTTTTTCACTTAGTTTTCTTTCACATTCTTGTATTTTAACAATTTTATTGACATTTCATTTGTTCCAAATGATATTTAACTATTTCATGTGCAGTCCTTAAAAAATTATAAAGTAATCAGTTTTCTACAATCTGTGCACATTTTTTTAATTTTAGAATTTTGATAATTCACATACATTTTACTATACTTGCTATTTAAGAATTTTCCAAGATAATTTTATATTTCTATTTGATATCTTTTATTCTTTTCTAAAGTATATTTTTTAATGTTGCTGTCTCTTCTTTTAGCATTATTCTCTTTTGTAATTACTTTTTGTAATAATGTTTATTTTTCTTTCAGTTCTTCTTTACAAGCCTATTAGTCAGTTACAGTTCAATACTTCATTCATACAGGTAGATGTTTTTCTTTGTCTTTGAAACCAAAATATCTTTTCAAAAATAAGTGTTACATTTTAAGAGATTGAAAGTTTTTGTGTGTATCTTATATTTTAATGTGTTCTTGAAATTTTAACCTGAGACAGTCAAAACTAACATCATTTTAAAAATGAATATGACTGGTCAGATCATGAAAGATTTTTACACTCCAACATACTAAATCATTGTGATAATAATGAACTTGTCCCATCCTACCCATTTCAATATTAACCACTCTGTATAAAAGGCTGTTTAATTACTGACAATTCAGTTTTGTTGAATAAAGCTTAAGTTTATATTTGGCATTGTTTATTCATTATACCTATAAAATGTATTTATTAGGATGTTTTCTCAAGTTGTTATATAAAAACTGCTAATTTCATTTTAATGTGATGAAAGTATTCATACTATCTTGCTAGCAGTTATTTTTCAGTAATAATGTAATGACATTTTTAAGAATAATTAGTTCTTTGAGGGATGAAGTAAAGATGTTATTCAGTTATTAAAATATACTAATCAGTAATCAGTATATCAACTGTTATACTAACTTGTTCTGTAAGCTTTACTGTTATTTGCATAACTTTATACTTCTTTTTAATCAAGAAACTATCATTGAGAAGGTTGCACAAAATGATTAAACAAAAGATATTAATGTGAGTTTACTGTAACACATCTTAGAAAAGCAGTAACTTATTTTATTTATGATAAACCTTTTAATTTTTTTACATATAATTTAGTTATATTTTATGTTGAGCAAGTTAAAACTGTTAAATGAATTAATGCCATTGAAAAAGATTAAGAATTCAAATAGGATTATCCCAGTATGGGGCATGACCACAAAATAAAATATTCTTTGCCCACAAACATAGCAGTAATATCCATTGTGTTATCAACAGTAGCATTCACTTTAGAAGCAGTTCAGCAAGCTAACGTGCGTTGATGATATGGTATCAGTTTGTTTATCTAGAAAAATACAATTCCCTGTATTCAGTTCTTTATACTTGTACCTATATGATTTCATGATGTGCAATCACACATAAGTTTATACTCTAACAGAAATGACAAAAGTTTGATTAACATGCTTATTTCTTCATGAAATTTTTATTTCTGTAACTAATTATATAGTTAGTAAAATGAAAGGCAAACATTTTATGATTTAAGTTTTTAAAATATTGTTTTAGTTTTTTGCTTTAAGTAAAAATACTGATTACAAGTTAAAATACATTTCATACAAAAACATAAAATCTTATGATTTATATTAATTGCAGTCTATATTGTAACTTTTTACACTAGATTATTCGAACTGTTGTCCTAATCTTTATTTCCATATTCATGATGTTTTGACTGCTGTATGCTTCAGCCTTCTTCAGGGGATATTTCTTGGAATTTTGAACTGAACCCTTTATTTAGTCCATGGGGGTAGGTTGTCCTAATTTCACATGCCATGCCTTTGGATATCTCAGCTACAGTTAATTCACCTTAACTCAAAGTTTTTGTTCCCTCTGAGAGGCCTTCCGTGACCAGGTATTAAACTCACAACACTTTTGGATCAATCCACCAACACTTTTATCCACTGAGCCATGTGTCCCTGGGGACATTGGTGAGTGAATTTTGGGGACTTATGAGCCTAATGATTGTAGCTATTTTTTTACCAGAGCTCATATTACAATTTTTGTTTTTCTCTAGTTCTCTGTATTACTGGTTCCCATATTGTATTCATGTCTATGCTTGGCCAACTTAGTAGATTTTGTATCCTAGCATATGTGTTGATTCCTTAATTTTTCATATTTTCCAGTGATGTTCTCTATCCATTATTTCAACTTCATCCCACAGAGGGAATTGACCTCCTTTTTCTCTCTATATATTGTCAGCCATGCCTGATTTTTCAATTTCTTTCGTTTTATGGTCTTACAATGTTCCTGCAGGCTTATCTTAAGGGGACAGCCTGTTTCTCTTTTATATTTCTTGCTATGGCTGCACAGGATGGTGTATACACAGTCATCAATAAATATTCTTCTCTTTGGAGATGTCTGTGTAGTGTTGAACTACTCTTGAATGTTGTCCTGATGTTATATGGACCACAGATCTTTTGTATCTTTTCTGATTAGCCCTTCACATACAGTAAGCAGACCAAACCTGTTTTCTGAGTGTTGTTATCATTTTGTACCCTTCTATCCCAGTTTGTAGGGGCTGATGTCATGTACCCAGGGTAGTTATTATGTTGTAGGGTACTGCTTATACTGATCATTTTTTGTTCATATATCTCTGGGTGGCAACTTATGACTTTTTGATGCAGGCAGTAGATGATCCCTTTCTTTACACTGTATGGGTGGTAGAAGTTGAAGTTGAGATTGTCTGGTGAATATTGGTTTGCAGTATATAGATGTCTTGAACCCATGCCCTGTTTGAGATATTAGTGTATCAAGTTTGTTGTTTTCTTTCTCTGTTGTGAACTGTATCACATGGTCCAAGAGTAGCTGGACATCTTCCTGGTGGGTCCAGAGTATGAAGGTGTCATCTATGTATCTCAGCTATAGAGTTGGCTTTAGTGATGTTGATTCTAATGTCATTTCCTCAAAGTATTCCATGTATATGTTTAGCCATTGCTGGTGATAATGGCAAGCCCATTAATGAGCCTTCATCCTGCTGATATGTCTGTCAGCAAGTGTCAAAGTATATATATATATATATATATATATATATATATATATATATATATATATATATATATATATAAAAATGACAATAGGAAAACTAGTAATTGCTGACGCATTTCATCCAATGTGGACTTTATCAAAGCAAAATACAAAAATGAATTTAATTGAACAAGGTAACTAATAAAAGCAAAAACAGAATGTTCCTAGCAACTGGAATGTAGAGAAATGCTATTTTCATATTGTTAACTAAAAATAATGTCAGTATTTGTCACGTGTGGAGAATATTGTCATTATATCTGTGTTGATGTATTCAACCATTTTCTTTTGATTTTATGAATCTGTTGTGTACATTTGTTTGTGAGAGCAAACAAATGTACACAACAGATTCATAAAATCAAATGTATGTGCTTATTTCAGTAAATTTCAAAATAAGTTATTCCAAAATTTTCTTGAAAATGAAACAGAACTAGGGACTTTAATTTAATTCTATAATTGAATTTGAAGTTTTTAGCTACTGTTTTTGAAACATGGTAATTCCTGTGTAGGAATGGAACCATATATTTAAATTAGTAAATTTATAATATTTATGCTCTGTAGATTTGTATTGACCACTATTTTGTAAAAATTAAAATATTAATAAGAACACCGGATTATATATCTTATTGTTCTTTCTCTTTATTATAATATATATATATATATATATATATATATATATATATATATATATATATATATATATATATATATAAAAAAATATAAAAAATGTTTATCTTGTTTATATTTATTGGCTCCATAGAGAGAGAAAAAGTATGCACTCATCTATTTGATTGAGGGGGTAGGTCAATCTGCATGGAAATGACTGTTAAAAACCTCCCCTCCTCAGATTTGTAGACAAATTGTAAAGATACATGCTGGGATATCTTCCTAGCTAATAAGATAGACCACGTCTTGGTCTCATCCACCATATTTTTGTTCTTTCTTGTCTTGAAGTCAGAATTCAACAATCACTTGATATATCCCTTTTATGTGTTAACACCATTCTTTGTGAATTTTTTGCCTTATTGCTTTGCCTATTTTTGTTGTGCATATATATATTGTTTGCTTTGTATTATTTTTTCCCTATTCTTTCCTTTTTTTAGTTGTTGTTTATTGGAAACTTTGTCAGTTCTGTTTGGTTGGATATTTCTGCCAATTACATTTAACTATAGCCAATTTTTCTTATATTTTATTTTGTTTGCATTTTTAGGAACTTTTGCAGTATACTCCTAAAAGCCATGCTGATTATGAGATCATTGAAAATACATGGCGGCTAACTCAACACAGTTTGACTGGTATCACAAATAAAAATTATGATGATAAGGCAAGTAATCTTTATTAAAGGTGATAAAGGTAAATTAAGGTAAGATTTACTTAGTAATTTATTTCTAATACAGGTTAATTTACCTCAACCTCTAAGTGTATTAACTTTTTAATCAATTGACAGCTGTGAGATGAATTGTTATTCTTAAATTTATTCCTGAATAAATGATATTTTCACTGAAATGCTTACTCACATATAAGTTTCATATCTCATTTAATGCTTCAAGCTTATAGATAGTTATCTTAATTTAGATTTGTTAAAATTTATTTTCAATAAATAAACTTAGAAAAGTATAACCTTATGTTGGACTGCAATTATCAATTTCCACACCTGTAATTGATAGTGGTGGCTTGTGCAGCAACTTACAAATATTGACAACTTTTTGTTATAAGGATATAAACTGTTTTTTGCTTATTATAAAGATATATACAGTTGTAAGATAAATGCTGAGGCTTGTAGCATTCTTTTATGTTGGTATGATATGGCAGTATAATAATTGTTTGTTCATAATCTACTTGGCAAAATGTACTTTACGTCAGCTGGGTGGTCTAATTCCCTTATCCCACATGTTTTCCTTAAATAGACAATTTGTCTTTATCCTGACATTAATGTTTTGACTAATTTCTTGCAATTAATCATGTTCCCAAAATTCTTTCAGCATTTGAAAACTAGATGTCCTTAATACAGATAAGTTGCCCAAAACCCCAAATTTGACCTTTCTGATAATTCATCATAGAATTTACTAAATAAAATAAGTAAAACATCTACATTAGATTGACTTTAGTCAGTTACAAAAGGAAATGCTTAGTTTAGATTTTGATGTGTATCAGTAGAAATCATCATATTGATATTTAAAAAAATGCTTTTTTTTGTTTTATAGACAGAAAATGATCAGTATTTGCTGAAATCAGATTACTTGGTAGAATTGGTTGGCAATGTAAGAAAATTACGATGTTTCTTTCTCTTTAATGATGTTTTGGTGTGTACTAAACAAAAGTTCTGGTAAGATCATTCTATATTCACTGTTTACAGTATCACCTTTTTTTAATGAGATTAATTTTCTTTATATTCCTATCTCTCCTAAATGTTTTCAAGACTGATTTTTTAGTATATAAATGCAGAATGTGAATTGAATACACAAAGTAGTTTACTACTTACTTTTATTAAAAAAATTACCTTAAAGTGTCTGAAACTTAAAAAACATTTTTGTAAATCAATAATTATTTACAAAGGTAGAAGTAATACAGGCTGTAAATATATTAACACCATATTTTTATAATAGCAGAAAATATGCAAATTAAGTTAATAGCCATTTTTGTTTATTAAAACATTTTTTAAGCTTTCCTGAATAATGCATGACTTCTATCATTCATAATAGTGAGATGGGAAATGACCATTTTGCTAGACCATTTTGTTTTAATATTCATTTTCTTGAACTTCAAAAAAGATGAAGAAAATGTATCTAGAGTGTCAAATTAACTTAAGAAATAAAATAATTAAATGTAAAAATATATCAGTTAACAGTTAACATTATATAACTATTTTTTATTATTGTAGTTTACTTTTTATTATATAAAATTCATGCAAGAGTGTGTTGAGGTTGGGAGAAACACCTATCCAATTACTCCCAACTATGGGGATAATAGGCAGGGAGAAGAAAGAGATGGAAAGTAACAAAAATAAAACTCCCCTGGAAACTACAACAACTTTAGGAACAAAATACCCAAGGAACTGACTTCACAAGACACTGTGTCTTGCTGACTACTGGTTTTTTCCTCCTGCTTTTATTGGCATGAGGCATCTTACAAAGACCTTGATCTTCACCACTTGTTGTCCCACTGCTAATGGGGGAAACCCAGATGTAATTGGTGTTGACAAACATGTTCACACGTGATCTGTGGCCCCTCGCCACATTCTCCACTGATCTTCTTGACATAGTTATAACAGCTTGGTGTGGGTCTCTTCCATTGAGTGCTTTTTTTTTTTTAGCAAAATAAAATAACTATTGATTTTATTGCATGACAATGCTCATATATTTATATTGCAAATGATTATGGACATTAGACGGCAAGTTCTCCCACAAATAATATATTCTCTAGATGATGTCTATTTTTGTTATAAGTTACAGAATCATATCTAACACTTTGAGCATATATTTGCACTTATCACCAATTCTGCTTACTAGCTGTTATAATAATGATAAAGTCAATACTATATATGTCCTCATTCCTATTTTATTTCTTCATATTAATCTGTTGTATGTACTTGATCATTTACTATTAGAATCATTATTTTGGAAGTCCTTTATGTATGAGTTATAATAAAGAGCATTAAAGACAACTGTACATGCTATAACATGAATTATTGTGAGAACATACAAAAATTGTGCACTAAATTAATAGCAATAAGTTTACTTAAAATGCTTTGAATGGAATTGAATTAAAGTTTTCAAACAGGTTCTGAAAATCATTCAGATGTTCATCAATCATAATACAATTTACAGTAAAATTAATTAAAAGTATATATACTTTTGGGCTGGATAAAAAAAAATTCCTCTAAATAAAATTTACTGATTTTCATTTATTTTTTGAATTTCTGAAAATGATTTTCTATTTCAGGCAAAAAAGCTCATTTGATGTAAAGTGGTTTATTCCTATTTCCCAATTGTTACTGGATAAACCTGATAATGATGGTAATTGTTGTTTTTATACCTTTTACCACTTTCTTTGGATCTATGTAAATAAATCTGTGATTGTATATAATTATAATTTATAGCTATTTCTTGTGGCAACTAAGATTATTGGATTTTTCTTATTGCAATATATACTCATTAACTGTTTACATTCTAAAATCAAAAATTATACTCAGAATTTTGGTGCAGCAATAAATATTTTTGCTGATGCTTCAATTGATCTTTATAAATCTCTCTGTTCAGGTTTCACTTTTCAAAAAATACTATTTCTATTTTTTGATTCCTTTGTATTTTGGATTGTCATTGTCATTCACTTATCTGTGATTCATGTTAGATGAGTTCATCATTAGTGTATTTCTTTTGCATGGAACTTCTACTACTTGATAATGTCTTTGTTGATCTAGAAGTAAAAAATTTTTCTAGAGGTTGAAATCTGTTTTTTTTAAATTTCTGCTATTGTTTTTACATCAAGCTTTAAGAATTAATTTACAAACTGAGGACAGTTTCTTTCAGACACTGCTGACATTTTTTAGTAAAAGTTTATGTATTAACAATTCTGTTATGGCTTTCTTGATAAATAATTATTGACAGATTTTATCATTGTGATATTTTTGCAATATATCAAGTATTAAGAATATAGTAACCAGGCTCCACAAATTGGAGGAGAGAGTTATCTACTTTTTAACTCTGTTTTTTTTGTATTTTTTTAATTGTACTTTTTATCACATAAAATTTGGTGAGGCGTGAGCCAATTTTCATTCTAAAATTGCGTTCCAGAGAAAAAAAGATTGGGAACCACTGTCATACACTATAAATCAATATATACATTGTTCTTGTTTTAAAAACTACATATAAAAGTAAGGGTTTTTCTAACTTCTCTGTTACAAGACTTCTGGAATGCTAATACATATGGAATAAAGTAAGAATTCTCAAAAGAAAATTATATTTATGTTCCTTTGATACACAAAATTATCACATATAATATGAACATATTGCAATGTTTTTACTATAAGTATTATTAATAGTTACTTTTTAACTTTAATAGTTATTTTTTGATGCAAAGTATTATAATTTTAGAATTAAGAATATCATGAAAATATTTTAATGAATATGAACTAGTTTATTTACTAAAGTTACTATATGAGTAACAATTAAATTTATTACAATGTTAAGTTTCATTGGTGTACAACTGTTATCAACAGCATTAACCTTATACTTAATCTTAATGGTAGTCATCACTTTCTGCTTATGACTTTTTGGAATATTTATAACAGCATCAATAATGTTTATTATGATGATGATTGTAAACACTTCCGGTCCCACTAGGGAATGCTGGGAGCAAACAGATCAAGTGGTAGTTTTAAATAAAATAGTTGTTGAATTTATCACATCTCATGTTGTCTTTGTCTTGCTTCAGCTCTTCAGCAACCAGTTTCATATAATTTGTCTTTCCACCCTAAGCACAGTGGAACATGGAAGAAGTTACATACACTTCTCTACCAACTTTCAGTATTTGTGTCCAGGGGGATGGACAAAATTATTAACTTTAAATAACTAACAGGTAATTGTCAAATTGAAGCTGAACATTGCTATTTTTTATTAAGAAAAATCTTGACTTCCAATTTCCTGATAAATGATCTTGAACAAGATTTAATATTTGTTTTTAACTTTGAAATGTTCGCAATTAGAACATCTTCATATATAAAATGGTATTTCTTCAATATGGGAAATAATTCTGAACATAGACAAATTATTACACTTGATCATGTTATCATCTGATAAGTTTTATTAGCTTAGTATAAGAATTGCATGGGAAAAAGTTTTATACTTTTAGTTCATAAAAAAGAGGTGAATTTGTTCAGTAGAAAAAACTAGTATGCCATTCATTCTTGATTTTATTTACATTTTTCATCTTTAATAGATGAATTGTAGTCAGTTTTATATCACTAAGCTAATAGAATCGTGGTCAGTTTTATATTACTAAGCATATAGATATACAGCAAACCAATTTAATTCATCCCAGTATTATAACAAATAGTATTTTGCTTTTTTTATATAAATTACATTTTGAGGCTTTCTAATATTTATTACATCTGTAGGGTGTATGTATAATTTGAAGAATAAAATGTTAATCATTGCAGAGATTATAATGTTATCCTGCTTATTTTTTTTTTCGAAATTTGTTAAAGAGCAATATCTACTGTTTATGATATTCAAATTGATATATTTTTTTAAAAATTGCCTTTGCTGTTATGAGTTATTCTCAGTTATTTACTCTACTTTTAAAATTGAAATGGCTAGATATAATTGGAAGTTCTATGTTAATAGTTTCTTTTCTTGCATTTCCTGCTTGTTGAACTCTCTTCTAGCTTCTGGCTTTCCAGTCAACTTTTATGTTCAAAAATTTAAATGCAATGTCAATTATTCATGTTCCTTTATTGTTCTCTTTCCTTAATAATGTTTTTCTTTTTCTCCCATTCTTTCAAACTCAGTAACCCCCTTGCATCTTAGTGGTTTTATTGCCTTTTTTGGGGTGAAGTGATTTAAAAAATAAACTGATATTTTTGTATTACACTGCTCGTCATTGTTAAATGCATTTTTAATCATTTAGTTCTTAATGTTATTTTAATTTTTCTTTAACTGCTTACACTATGGTAACTATTTATAACTTTTATTTAATATGAATGTTTTTGTTTATTTTTTTAATTTGTGGTATTCAAAATTATGCTTACATCGATTTGATTTGATTTCTTTCAGAAATGAAATATCATTCAACAGAAGCAGTTGATGAAATTAAAAGAAAAATTAGTTGCCTAGAAACAGAAATAAGGGTGAGTGGGATATTTCAAGTAGAACACTTACTGAAGAAGAAATAAAATATTTTTTTATTGCATTGATATTTCAGGATTTTTAAGGATTCTAATTATTTATCATGATCTCATTTACAAGAACATGTCCAGCATTGTGGAATTAAAAATTAAGTATACCCATCCTTTCACACAAATTGCAAATCTCACCATGACTTTGATAAATGCAAAATCCTGCAAAGTCAGTCAGTGGCAGCACCAGTTCAACAGTTTCAATAGAAAGAAAGATTTAATAGATTTTTCAACAAATTGTAGTAGTAAACTAGGCTGTGATTTGTCAAAAAAATATTTATTAAAAGTTAGAATTTGAATAAATGAAATACAGTACATAAAAGAAACTGTAATGCCTAAAGATTCAGTCACAATAACCTTTTGTGATATGGAAAAATATAAAAAATAATAAGTAATTGATCGATTTTTAACATGATAGTACAATTAAAAAGCATCAATGAAAATTTTTTGCATAATTGTAATATCTTATTAAATCAAGATTAAAATCTATGTTAAAATTGAATTGCACTAAATTAATTAACTCGCTTGCACAAATTTGTTCTGAAGATTTCCTAAGACCATTTGTGATATTTGTACCAATTTTTGTAATGTAGAATCTTTTCAACATTGGTTGAAATTTATTATAAACAATGAGGACGATAATAAAAACAAAAGCATTAAGGAAATTTTAATTTATTTTACAGAAAGTAAATGACAAAGACAAGCTGTCAGATCGGGCTAAAGAAAAACTAAAAAAAAAAATTTCTGAACTTGTAAGTAATAATTTTAAATATTATTTCTTTTATTATTTCATACTGCAATTTCTTTTGGTCTTTATATATTTTTACATTTCACTTTGTATTTATAGTTCAAACATTGATAAACATTTTATATCAATATAATGATAACTTTGCTTTGTACTCTTGTATTTTTAACAAAATGTTTATTTCAGTTGAAAAGATTATCTATTTCAATGCAGGATATTAACACATTTGAGTGCTGTTGGTAATGATTCTTGATGTTTGATAACAGAGTTAAAATTTATACTAATAGTAAATATACATTTTGTTTCCTACTGGTATACTATCAGTGAGTTGTTGATTATATCCATTGGTCTTGTGTATAAGTGATATAAATAGACATGTTGGTTGACACTGGCTCTTTATAAACAGCCTACATGTAGCAGAGTGAAAAAAAAAAAAAGAAATTTGTGGTTGAAAAGAAAAAGGAAACAGATTATCAAAATGGAGAAAATAAAAATCTGGATTGGTGAAAAAGGTACTGTGACTTAAATTTTGGCTTGGTGTTATTTTTAGTATAAGAATTTATTTTAAATTACAAGGTTGGGTCATTTGCATTGAGGGATTATTGTAGTCCTTCCTGATCTTGGTTTTTTGGTAATTGAAGTATATTTATTACTGTTACATACAACAAATGTGGCACAAGGCCGAAGGGGAGGTGGGGTAATGCTAGTCAACATTAAATATCCTAGACCTAGTTAATCATGACCCATTAAACCATTATTTACTCATTCACCACAAGAACTCTTCCATCACCATTCAGCTCCCACATATACCACATATTCACAGCGAACCTACAAAAAGACCCATGACATAAAAATTCCTTTATATGCAAATTGCTCAAATGTCTATTTTCTTTCCTTACAAAAATATATAAAAATATAGTGATATGAGGGATTGTAGTGAGCAGTCATGTAAAAGCAAGCAAGCTAGAGTGGCTTTCATCTGGTGCAAAGGAAATAAGTGTCTTACCTCAACATGCATCATGTGGCATTGACATTTTGCTCCTTGAAAATCTCATTAGTCTCCCATCTACCTATTCCAGCAATATGTACTGTAATGTGGGGGGGTTTGTACAGTTTGGCATGGTTTGACTAATAGCAAGTGGTTGGACTACAAAAGCGAAGAACGCTGATTAGTTGGTTGGCCGTGGTGTTGGCCTGATAAAAGAGGCTGAAGCAGTGAGAAGGCAGAACGGTTTTGTATTGGTGAAGTGTGCAGAATGCAAGAATGGCAGATTGAACAAGTGGTATCTTGTATTGTATGAATGACATTTGAGGAATAGAGACTCGTTTATCTACAAGTTATTTCGGCTTTCCTCCCATTCATGGTGGACAGAAGTTTCAATATTAGGCTAATACCTGAATTCATTGGGGCTGCAATCGATCTATCAATTCATGTAAATGGACGAAAGGACAACCACCTATAATCCTAAAGAAGAGAGGGGCAGAATATTCTGTACATGGGACAAATATGAGATGGAGCTTCAGTTGTGGCTGGATAATAGATGGCTGTGGCCATACCCCAAAAACGTACTTGGCCCACCTAAGTGTCTAATCCCATTAATAACAGTGATAACAAGAGAGCAAGCAGAAGGTCCGTCCAGTATTGGATTACCTGGAGTTGAATGCTTTTGTGGAACCATATACTGCTAAATCAGAGGTGTGTGCACACAAGTTGCAGGAATGGTGATGATTGGGGGTTAATGTATCCTAATTGGACTTACGAAGGGCATATCTGAAGATACATGTTGAGAAGGTGCTGTGGCCCTATCAAACTCATATTGAAGGGTCAAAGATACTGCCTCACCTGACTGGGCTTTGGTTTAAATGTGGCATCTCTCATCATGAAAGCTGTAATTGATGTGATACTGTCTCAAGACAAAGTCATTGTGAATGACATGTTGGCATATATTCATGACATTTATATCAACAAAAGTTTGATTCCTGTTACATGTGTGAGAGAGCACCTGTCCAAGTACAGACTAGTATGCAGGGAGCAGACAAAATTAGGAGACGGAATCAAGGTGTTGTGCTTGCAGGGCTGAAGTGATAATGGCACTCTCTCATGGAGGCAAGGTGGAGAGATCCCTAATATCTCTATCAAGATAACTTGCTGGCACGTGTTCTCTTTATGTGAGCCACTTTCCAGTTTGCAGCTGACTGTGAGTGGCCACTGCATTTGTGAAGCAACAAGCAAGTGCCCTAAACACAGGATAAGATGATGAATTTGAGGATGTCTCTCTTAATTGCATGCTAGCTGATATAATAGCCATATCCATTAGGAGGAGACTGATGTGTGAGTGTCTGCAAAATGAACGTGTTGGTAGATGCAAGTTCTGTAGCCATGGGAGTGGTACTAGACGTAAATAGAAATGTCATTGAGGAGGCATCTTTGCTGCAGCTGGCTGGAGATGCTAAACATATCAATTTGGCTGAGCTAGACGCAACAATAATGGGTGTCAATTTGACTCTTCAATGGCAGGTGTCAACATTACATCTTTTTACCGATTCAGCATGTGTCTATCAATGGATTTCAAACACCCTAACTGGCAAGGCACAAATAAATACAAAGGTATCTTGGGAAATGCTAGTGCAGAGATGGTTGAACACACTTTGTGAACTTGGAGCTGAATATAACTTGATGGTGGACATAACACTGGTCAAATCCAATCTAAATCTGGCAGACCAGCTTACCAGAGGGGTGGTTAAACCTACACAAGAAGTGAATGGAGCCAGTGCAGTCAATATGTGCCGCTATAATGACCAAATTGGACGCACATCAAGTGGCTAATATCCACCGACAAACCAGACACCCAGGCATAAAAAAGATCCTGTACTTTGTTCGGTTAGGTTTATAGACCCTTTTGTATTGTCAGAAGATGTAAAAGTTGTTGTCAAGGAATGTGAGGCTTGCCAATCCATTGACCCTGCTCCAATGCATTGGCGAAAAGGAAAGCTGGATGTGAAGGACAACTGGAGTAGGTTAGCAATAGACATCACCCTCCATGGTTGTTGTGGAGTGATTTCAAAGTGGAGGCTTGTATATGTACTAAGTCAATCCAAAATAGGTTTGACGTACAAAACGTTAGGAACTTGATATAATTGGTATAATGCAGAGTAATCTAGTTGTGGTCGCTGATACTTTAGTATTTGACTAACTGTCATCCGACATCGACTGACTGACCGACTCGTTACTCTTACTACTCCTACTTATTATAGGTGGGAGAGTCTATTAACTATAGAATAGGTGTCTTCCACTATAACAATAGTAGTAAGCATTTTCTGACAATCATGGATTGTGGACCCTCTCGGTTCATGATATGGTGACCCCTACGTTGACAAGATTCTACCAGTGTAGTTTGTTAGTTGAAGTCACTTTTTTATGAACAGGGTCTGCCACTTGAGATATTGACCGACAGTGACACAGCATTCACGTGCAACATTTCAAGAATTTTTTGAGTAATTGGGGTGTACATCTGTGGTTTCAATGTGTCTATGCACCTGCCAGGAATGGCATAGTAGAAAGAAGTTACCAAAGCGTCAAAACTATTGCAGCTAGAAAGCAGTGCTCGATACTGGTATAACATCATGCATAAAGATAATCACTTGCCAACTATGGCACCAGCTGATGCACTTCATAGGTACCATAACCGCATATGAGGCATCGAGGCTATGACCCCCACTCAAGGAGCATATGAAGTGGGAGACATTGTTTGGGTGAAAACTCCCCATGGGAGATGCATAAATAAGTTTAGAATGGGTCATGTCACTCAGGTTAATAGTCCGCAGTCAGTGCACATTGATGGAGTTCTGTGTCACATGAAGGACTTGCGTCCCTTCAGGGGTCAGTCCTGACAGCTACACAGGACAGTGATTTTGAAGAGAGTGGTTAGTAAATTTGAGATCAGCCCCATGAGGAGAAACTGATCACTCTCCTGATACTGAATCCTTTGAAGATGAAACCAACTTAGAGGACAACTCCCCAACTGTCAGCGGCCAAAATACTAATGCACTATGCCCTGCTAGCTCTCCTGGTGACAATTCATCTGACGATGAAGCTTGTGTTGCTCCACTTCGGTGAAGTACCCAGCAAAAGTGACCTGCTCACGACTGTATTTTTTGTGATCATGAGATCAGCGGGGAGTGTGGCGAACAGTCATGTAGAAGCAAGCGAGCCAGAGTAGCTTGCATCTGGTGGCCAAAGAAAATAAGTGTCTTACCTCATGCGGCACATGGCATCAGCATTTTGTTCCTTGAAAATGGCATTACTCTCCTGTCTACCTATTCCAGCAGTATATGCTGCAATGAGGTTTTTTTGTACAGTTTGGCATGGTTTGGCCAATAACAAGTTGTGTGCTGATTATCCTGTTTAATAAATATCTAATTACCTCATCTTGGTTGCTCCAGAGCAACAATTGGGCTCCAATATTGAAGCTCTTTAGGGCCTCCTCCATCAACTCCTTGCTGACTCCCATCAATTTCCTAAACTTTATGTCCGTTGTCAGCAGGGATATGGTCCTAGTTGTGACTGCTTCCATTACAGAAGGCACAGCCAAAGTTTGTTGCCCGAAATAAAGTCTTTATACTTCTACTTTAGGCTATTATAATATTTGTGCCCTTTCTTTTTTGGCCTGTCTGCCACCCATGCTAAGTGCTTGTGGGTGTGGGTTCCAACTGCTAAGGAGACTGGACCATTTTTGGCTGAGGCCTTACCACAGTTCACACAGAAGAAAAAACACTTTGCAATACAAGAAAAGCAATTACATGAGCAAAACACATGGAAAATATATCAAAACCTAAATTACAATGGGGAAAATAATAAAGGAGAGGGGTATCTAAAAAGTTAAAGTTTAAAAGTAAAGATTTACTTAAGAAAGAAAGGCAAACAAAATGGATGAACAAATAAAATAAAGATTAAATAATAATACAAAAGAAGAATTAAACTGAAAATAAAAATTTGCTTACAGAAAG